TACTTTGGGCGCACACTTTGTTGAATTAGTATCTGACCTGATAACGCATAAAGCATTGCAGGAGATAACTTGCGTTTTGTGTGGTGGTTTATTTCATAAATCAGCGCACTTTCAATGGCAAATAACAAAAACCTCGTCGTCCTCGCATAGATTTATCGACTTATAACGCATAATTCAAATATTAATCTGTATGATGATTTAAAACGGCGGAAAATGTCAAAAATTAGAGAATTTTGATTTATTGCCGTATTGTATGGTTTAATTTGTTTGTTGTTTGGTCTTTAGGTGATTTATTATTTAAATATTTGTTACTTTAATTCAGAAACTATTTACACGTATTTTAGCTTAGTTGTTATTTCGTTGTTTGCATGCGAAATACGCTGAATGCGCTGCACGGATGCATTCGAATAGAAAATCGCTAGATTTGAATGCGGTCGATTGCCGACCACGAGGATAATATACGAAATTCGCTTCAATTAATGGTCAATGCAAACATTTCCGCGCTCGCGCTGCCACCACATATTAATATTCTACCGCTCGCCGGTCGTAAATTACCGTTAAACAACTATTTATGAGCAGCGCAATGAACAACATCAACAGCAATACAATGCAATGTGAGAGGAAATTTGCCGTTTTGGCAATGCAAATATCACCTATACGCCGAGGGGAGGCGGGGAATATCGGAGATTTCACTTTAATTGTGTAAATTTATGGCAAAGTTTTAATTTGGTCTGTTTAATTTCGAAACACGTCTGTCGAAGTTGCACAGTGTTGCGGGAGAACAAAACCGAGAGAAGATGTAATTTCCTGTCTCGCGTGCAGACGTTTTTCACGAAATTTGATAAAATTACGCCTGGCGGCGGCGCCGCCAATAATTTCGTCTTGGCTTTCTTGCTGCGTTCGAATTTTGCCAGGCACGATTGCTTCTCACTTTACTATGTATAAATTTCAGTATATATTTTACAGAAACGGATTAAAAACATTTTTTGTAAAAATTTTAATTTTTTTAGTTTTACTGGAAATTTATTGAAATAAAATTCAAAAAAATATAAATACGGTCCTGTTATATATAAATTTTAGTTTTATGATAATTACAGGACCGGAGTTTGTTTAAAAAAACAAAAATTTGTAATTTTTAAATTTTCTACAATTTTTTTCGCTTAAAAATATTTTTAAACTAAAATTTTTGAAAATTTATAATTACGGCTCTGTGGGTTTACGAGTAATACAGCTTTCGGCGTGTCTATTATATGAATACGTTTTGCACTCGCTTAATATTTATAGCGAGCGATATTAAGGAGCGTAGCACGAAACACTACACCCTTGCACGCATCCTTTCATCCTTTCTTTGGCTTTGCCTCGTCTTGCGCTTGTTCCAATTGCTGCGAGCGCGAAACGAGACCTTCGAACGCATTCGCGCAACCGATATGAATATATACACCACGTAGCACCACTCATTTGAGTGCGCGTACACATGCGAGGGGGCATTTTCGCTCTTCACGTCGTGAACCGCGCAAAGCTTCTGTTGGCAACGGAAAATTGACGCCACTTGAAGCCGCATTTATACGCGATAAGATCGAACATACTTGGAAAGCGTTTTCAAGCAGAGAATTTCCACCGCAGACTAAATATTTATAAATTTGTTTGTAAATATTTACAGAATGCAGATTTTTAAAATATTTATGAGATGTGCAGTGGTTTTGAGTAATTTTTGAGGTTTTTTAAAAGAAAATTTAAGAAATTTTGACGAATTGTTTGAAAGACGAGTTGATTTCGTGCGAGTAAGTCGTTGAAATTTCCCAACGCTGGAAAATAGACTTTGTGGGTGGTAATGCTAGAGCAGGAGTACTTGTGCTGTGAAATTTAAGCCGGCTGCATCCATTGTAAGTGTGCAGCTGAGGCGGTTGTTTGCGATAATTGAATTCATTATGCAGCAAAGTAATTGAAAGTGTCGGCTGGGAGGTGGTTCGAGACGCAACCGATGCGCAAACATGCAATGCACAACACAGCCACACACAAACACACACAAAGTGTTAAATTTAATTTTTCAAGCGTTGTTTAAGGGTTTTTCAATGCTTAAACATCAATTTTTACGTGTTTGTTTTCCGTTTTGCGATAATAGATTTCGTGAAGTACTGACGTACTGACTGAGAGCCCTGAGAGTAGGGCGAAACCCTTGAAAACACGAGTGAGGCTTCAGCCGGCGGGTTGTAAAACCGATAGAAAACCCGTCTGACGGTATTTAACGTGCGCTCGGTTTTCGGCTCACGACCGCTTTGCGTTATTTATCCGCGCGCCCCGGAGCCACGGAAGCTGGAGAGCATTTGTATTCATACCCGATCGCCGGTTGCACGACTTTGTCCCGTGGTTGTTGTCATTGGTCCTGGGGGTCCTCTCGACGAGTGGTCGAGTGTCGTTGTCTTAACGTTGGGCCGCACGTCGTAAAATTTTACTTTAAAAAACAAAAAAAAATAAAAATTGTTTTTTTTTTTTAATAAATCTTGCTGATTTTATGAGTTTTTATTTTTTATTTTATTTTGTATATTTTAGACAAAGGTATTTACGTAAATTGTGCTTCATTTGCTGCATTTCCTGCATTTTATTCAGTTTTTCTTTATTCCTTTGCGCGTTATTGACTGGCGCGTCACGATGGCAACTTCATTTCAACTCTCTGCCATGGCGTGCAATCGGATGCGCATACATTTTTCGCATTTTCTCGCTGCAGAATTCCCCGCGAAGAAAGGAAAATCCGAGTTATCGCACAACAATCCGCGCATATTTCATCGATGGCGAATCAATTCGCTTGTAATAAATCTCTCTCTTTGGCCAAGCGCGCGTGTGCAAGGGTGTAGAGTGCAACTTCCTTCAGGCTGTTGGTGGTGCAATTCGAGCTGCATTTCAATTTGCAAGTGAAATTGAGATTTTATATTGTTGAAAGTATGTAACTATACACGTAAACAATTTTTTCTATTTTCATCATTATAGCACCACTTTTTTCCAAGTTTTGAGGCACAAAAGTGATATTTTAAACATGGATGGCTAAAAAATACTTTAGTCACGGGTTTTAGTCACGAGATGACTAAATGTTGTTAAACATTCGATTTTTCTATTCCAATTTATTGAAATTTATTTTTTTTGTTTTTCTTGAACTTTTCGTGAGTAAATATTTGCTTCATTATCATAAATTTCCGTGTGTGGGTAGCGCCACGCGCCAGAAATGGAAATGAGTGCGTCGGCAGCGTTTACAGGGGTTGATTGAGGCGAAAAGTGGAAGCGATCCGCTGCCTCACTCGTTCGCAATGTAATTAGTGACAAATATTAGACTTGTTTCATATTCGCGGCGCGCACATACGGCCCGGGTCGCGCCTAATGGCCGTAATGTGCAATAGACGCTGCTGGCTTATGATGTGCGTCGGCAGCAGCACGCAAAAGGGACGAAAATATGCCGAGTTTACTTTCTGGGCAAATTGCCGAAATTCCACTAATTTCGCGTAATTAACGCGAAAGTAGAGCGAATTATTCACCAACTTATTTCATATTCTCTCCGCGGGGCTAAGGCTAAGCAAATAGAAGGGTGATAATGCCGGCAATTTCACGATGGGGTAAATTAATTTTAAGTAGCCTAGTAAACACGAATATTTTTATTCTATATTTGTATTTTCTGAGCAAAGAAAAATAATAATTAGTAAAAATTTAGTTTTTTAGTTTAAATATAAAACACAATTTTTATCCATCACGTAAAATGCGCAGTTTTTACTGCAATGCCGACGAAATTAAATGTCGGGCATGTTACATCCCGGAACATGGCGCAACATGCTTGAGCCGAGATGAAAGTAAAGTAATTTAATTAATATTCCAAATCATGATGAACTAATATATCAGCCGCTCTATCCTGTATCCTGCCACGAGATAAAACCACATAAAAAAATCTACAACCTGTAAAAATAGTTTCACAATAATAAAAAATATTAATTAATTAATTAATTAATTAATAAAATTTTAATTAATTTTCAACGTTTTTTGCTGTTTTATTTTATAAATTATTGTATAAATTAATTAATTTCTTACCAAGGCACACTGTATAATAGATAACAGTGTAAAACACGGGTTGATTGCGACCCTCGCTTGCCTCGGAGTTGGAAAAGTGGAAAACTGGAAAACTCGTGGAGTAGTTTCGGGTGTCCTCTCCGCTCGCCATCGTTCACTATCGTTTCATCTATGGCGGGCGCGTTGGCCGCGACGCGTCATATATTCCACGTTATTCCTTCCTTCCGACGGCGTATAGTTATCCCGTAGTTATCCCGCAGCGTCCTGCCGAGCTAATATCACTAACGGCGCACTAACCCCCCGTATCCAACATTTACTATCCCGGAATCATACCAGCCTGATTCTGTTCCCAACCCTTTCGCTATCTTTCTGCTAGCGCGCGTTTCATCCGACGAAAGTTTCAGCGTGCTGCTGGTTGCGCATACTCGTATATAAATGTCGAACGTTGTGTCTCGAATGTTATGCAATGTTATGCACATGTCTCGTGCAGTGTGTGTTGCATAGCATAACTTTGGCGTGCGGCGTGTGATGCGCGCGCCCGTAAAACGTAAAACTGTGAAATGTTCATTGAGAAAATTACAACATCCTTGACGAAATTAAATTCTCTAGTTATCCCGACGGCGATAAAACCCAAGCGGAGGAAATAGAAAATTACCACGGTGAACTTTACGTGCTGGTGTGTATATTTTTTTTGTTTGTGGAGTTTAATTGATGTTTCATGTTGTGGTAATTATGAAAACTGTTGAAATTAATTTAAGGTTATGTTTGTTTGTGTGTTTGAAATGAAATAGTGTAGTGTTTAGTTTATTTTATTTTATTTGTGCAATCAAGGTTGATATTGAATTCTTGAAGATACGAAGTTTATCGCTGTGATATGCTGTGTTTACATTTTTCTGTATTTTGCGCAGCGCAGCGTGGAGATAACTGAATGTTTTGTTTTGTTTGTGTTTCAGTCGGTGCAGTGCAGCGTTTCGACCAACAGCCAACGTACACGGAAGTCAATCCCGGCCAAGATGCTCTTCTCGTCTGCAAGGTTTTTAATAAGCGTGGATCTTGCTCCTGGCAGAAGGACAATAAGGTTAGTGGATATTATTTTATCTTTTTTCTTGAAATTATTAAAAATCGTGCATTTTTACACTGTTTTTCATTGAAAATTGTTTAAGATTTGTTGTTGTTTGATTCTTCGATTTCCGCTGCGTGTATTACATATTTCCAATCATGCGCCACTTGCCAGAAGCAAACGAAAAACGTGAAATAAAAGAAAAATCACGTACACTTTCGGAGTTTGTTATGACCGACGAAACGGGGCTTACAAAGTCCTTCCGCATGTCGAACATAACTCTCAATCAGCCGTACCTACTCGTCCTCCACTGGCCGATATGTTTTTCTGCTTGTAGTAGTACAATATCACTCAATATCATGTCGCGCAGGACTGAAATGGACTTTACTTCACACATTCTCTTCCACTTGGGCTCGCACACAATATTACAAAATTTCCTCGTTGCTGCTGCTGCTTCAGTGTCGAATGTCCTTTTACGAATTTATTTTCTTGTGTTTTTTTTTCTCGTCTTTGCCGCCGTCATTTTCTCATTTCTTTCGAGCGAAATGCCCGGATGAAAAATGTATCATCCGGACATGTTCGCCACGGTGGTATCCAGCCAGGATCTGGTGCAGTGATACATCACTCATATCGATTGACCACTGCTGCTGCTGCTCCACTTTACGTTCTGCGTATACAATAGAGTGGAGCTGGCCTGCAGTGGAAATTGAAGCAATTGCACAGCGCAGACAGGCGGCAGTTATGTCAACGAGGGCGTTGAATCCTCGAAAAGGGATAAAAACGTAGTTGGAGTGCGTTAAAGTGTCGGATGGGCTGGATATGTCCGCTCAAAATCGAAATGAAAGCACTCGGGTAAAAACACAGACGAAAATTTTAACCAAAAATTATAAAAATTGATTTTTAGTTTAAAAATGATGAAATTTAAATTCAGATTGATTCGGTAAACAACTTTGCGCTAACCTGAAAGGTTCTCTTCTTACATTTTTCTTTTTTTTTGCGTTTGCATCGACAACTAAAAGCATCCTACTTTCTGGGTTTGCATAAGTTTAAAAGCACGCATCGCGAGACCAAGTTTGCAATCGTAAAGTTTCTGTAAAGTTTTTCGTTTTATGTTTGCTAATCGCTGCGCAGACTGAGGTAATTTGCATTTATCGACTTGTCGATGACGATTCTCAGCTCGTATTTCTTTTAAAAATGTTATTTCTCACATTACTAGCTTTAACCCTTGGCTTCGCTCGCGAATATCTAAAATAATGAAGTTGCTTCCGTACGCGTCTGTAGTCACAGATGAAGTAACAATGAAGTAGAATGGCGGGAAGTTTAAAATGGCTGAAAGTATAGTCTATGGAAGTATAGTGTACAGTCTCCATAGTGTAGTCAATTGGATTTGATGTTGACGTAGCTGTCGGTAATACAGTGTGATAATACAGTGTGATGGTACTATAGTACTTAGGTTTGAGCTTCATTGCTGGAATGCTAGATGGCGTTAAAGTAGTCAAATAGCCAGATGCAGAGGTATTATTGGCTAAACAATTTCTTTATTTTATTTAAAAAATAATTTTTTTTATTAAATAAAAAGTAGCCTATAACCATACGGGGACCACTAAGAATATGTGTACAAATTTTCATGATGATCGGTTAAGTAGTTCTTGCGTGAAAGTGTAACAAACATCAGGACTTTCGCATTTATAATATTAGTAGGGATTTTTCATTTTCATGTCGAAAATTGTTTATTTTATTTTCCTGCGTATACACAGAGAGGAAATTACATAATAAATTGAAAATAAAATAAAACGTGCAGTTAATTGAATATGAAAATCAAACCACCCACATAATTAAGCCCTAAACGCAAATAAAAGCTTGAATGTTCGCCCCGCGAAAGGAAATTAAACGCGATCTTTCGAGATTGATATACCTACGTACTCTATACGTAGACACTGACTGCTTTTTCTGATTCCGAGCTTTTCATAGCGCGCGAGCTTTATGTCTGTCTATCTGTCTGTCGTAAACGTTTTGTCCTCTCCTCTCTTCGCGCGCGCGAAGCTTTTTCGTTGTCGTCGTAAACTCGCACACGTTTACGACGGGTGGCGTTCGATCGGCGGCCATCAAAGAAATTGACAGGAAAAATGCACGCGCATTGAAGGCACGCCAGTCACGCGAGAGGAGGCAGCAGGGTGCTGAAAGACGATCATAAAGCGGGCATAAATCCGTCGAGGGAAGTGCCCGCGATGAACACTTTCCGGTACACAAAGGTCAATATGTCGCGGATATAAATATCCTTGTTGTGTGGCATGTCGGAACAAAATACCACACAGAAAATCTTTTTTTTTTTTTTCTTTAGAGGTTGAAATGTGATGATGAATTAAATTATAAATTAAATCCAGGCTCGTAAAAGTTTTTCAAACTACTTTCTAGTGTGATGTGGTGGTTGTGGTGTTAACGCTGCGTGCACACACGAAAACAGAATCATTTTATGTAAATTAGTTTAGAAACTGTAAGTGAAATAGCAGATGTTTATGAAACCGTTTTGCATACGTACCTAAAAACTAACCAGCGCCAAAGTTGGGCGTGAGACACACCCGGAAACCCGGAAAAGTTTCGCGTTTGCTTCAAGTGTGTGCAAGCTGACAGCGAATTTTGGAATTCGCATGCGGAAAATGCTAAACGCGAAGACAAAGTACAAAGTGTGGAAAGTTTAATAGGTGGATGAAAATCACATTACGACTACCTTGTGCGCATGCGCGCTAGCGCACAAACTACTCATAGTATGACGTCAATTTGCATTAGATGTACGAGTATTCTCAGCCAAGCCAACAATTTACATGTTGTAAGTACGATTAGGAAATGAGTTCAAAGTTCTCTTCATGTGGAGCAGTTGAAATATTACCCCGGATGCGTGAATTATGTATACGCAACTTTAACATTCCCGAAATTAAACTTGCAAAAGCTCGCGAAGCGTAAAAAAACTTTTTGTTTGGGTTTAATTTCAATTGTTTTGAAATCATAAAAGTCAAAAGTCAAAAATTTACATTTGTTAGTTTTATATTATAATTTTTTTTATTTTTGTCTGGTTGGTAAAGGTAGAAAGTTAGATTAATTCGAGGTAAATTCTCTGTGCCAACCCTTAACGGGGCTGATATGATTAATTTGCGGCTCAACTTTCGGGCGCATTCAGCCATTTGAGCATTCGGGATTACATTGTGGTTGTTGTCGAGCGAGTAAACTGATATGAAACACGGATACAACACCTTCAACCTCACTCAAAATTCTTCCACTCTCCGAAGGTGGAAGTTGGTTGGGGCTGCATGCCGAGTACCTCAGCTCTCGTGTAATAGTAGTTAGTGTTACCTTCTTCGCGGAATAATATATGGCTGCGAACGACGTTGGCCGGTAATAAATAGGCAACGCAATATACATGCAGCGCGCCGCGCGTGCTTTGTGTGTTGCGTTTCGGATAGCGCGCGCGCTCCAACCACCGCTACCGAAATGAACGAGCGAGTTATGATGGTCGGTGAGCGAGGTGAGCGGCGTCGGCCATAATTAATAATCGCGATGTCGAGTTCTCGTAAGTTCACATAACAAATTATTTACCTGTGTGTGTTTGGTTACAAATGAGAACTTTTACATCAAAGTCCTAAATTATTTCGACATAAATCTTCGCCTTGTGTGCAGGTACTTAGTTTTCATTGTTAGTTTTCATTGGCGTGGAAAGTTTTAAATTTTCACGACAGCGTTTTAAAACAAAACAAAAGCGAAAAATATTCGCAGGAACGTTGTGAGCGATATAAATTACACGCGGGGCGTAATTTATGGCTCGCATGATGCGCGCATATTTCTATATTAGCTGTTGTGTTTCGCTTCTTTTCGGCGCTCGTTTTTCATTTTTTGCATTTTGCATTTTTCTAGTTTTTGTGTTTGCGCGTTTTATTTGTTTGGACGGGTGGTGTTTGTCGAAATAGAGCGGCGGACCGCGTATTTATGATAGCGTTGTGTTCAATTTTTTTTACAAAATTTATTCATAAATCACACGCGCCAATAAATCTATGTAATTTAGGCTATTGAGGAAGTGGAATGCAAAAAATATGAATAAATAAATAACAAAAAATGAGATTTGAGTTTGAAATACATGTAGCGCCATCTGTAGAGTAGTAGGTTTCAATATAGTAGTGAGATTTTAATGACAAATTAATATGTAATTATATTAAAGAAGTAGAATGCAAAAAATATGAATAAATAAATAACAAAAACGTGATTTGGCTTTGAAATTCATGCAGCGCCATCTATAGAGTAGTAGTTTTGAATATAGCAGTGACATATTAATAGCAGATCAATATCTGATCATATTGAAGCAGTAAAATGCAAAAATTTGACTAAATAAACAACAAAAACTAAATTTATACTTAAAATTTATGTAGCGCCATCTATTGAACAATAGCTTTGATTGTAGCATTGAGATATTAATCCTAATTCTATATGAGACCCTTTCTAAGGAAGTAAAATGCAAAAATAGCAATTATAAATGAAAAAAAAAACGACATTTGCGTTTAAAATACGTGTAGCGCCATCTATGGAGTGCTAGGTTTGAATATAGTAGTGAGGAATTAAAAGCAAATCAATAGGTGATCATATTGAGGAAATAAAATGCAAAAATTCAAATAAGTGGACAACAAAAACGACATTTTCGTTTAAAATACATGTAGCGCCATCTATTGAGTAGTAGTTTTGATTGTAGCACTGAGATATTAACCTTAATTCTATATGAGACTCTTTTTAAGGAAGTAAAATGCAGAAATAGCAATAATAAATAACAAAAACGACATTTTCGCTTAAAATACATGTAGCGCCATCTATTGAGTAGTAGTTTTGATTGCAGCGGTGAGATATTAACACTAATTCAATATGAGACTTATTTAAGCAGCTAAAATGCCAAAATTTGAAGAAACTTGCATCAAAAACTTGATTTGCGTTTAAAATACATGTAGCGCCATCTATTGAGTAGTAGTTTTTAATATAGGAAC